ATCCTTTTTTATGGCTGCATAGTATTCCATGGTGTATATGTGCCACATTTTCTTAATCCAGTCTGTCACTGATGGACATTTGGGTTGATTCCAAGTCTTTGCTATTGTGAATAGTGCCGCAGTGAACATACGTGTGCATGTGTCTTTATAGCAGCATGATTTATAATCCTTTGGGTATATATCCAGTAATGGGATGGCTGGTTTTAAAGCCTCAGGTGCTTAACTCGTATGTACAGCAGTAGAACCTAAAAATGACTCACTATTCATAATCTCTAACTGCTCACAGTATAATGATGAAATCCCTGTAGATAAACATTTACTAAGTCCTAATTTGTATAAAATCCTTTATGGGGAAAAAGTTTAAGTTTCCTATTTTCTGCTAGTAGAGTTCTTTACATTTCACTGGCAATTTGCAGTTCACACAGTCCTCTCACATACATTATCACATTTGAACTTATAATTAATTCAAAACTAATATCCATAACTGACTGTATAAATGCTATGCAAATTATAGAAAAGGGTGGGAGAAATGTAAATATCCATTTGTCATGTTAGTTCATTTTGATACAAGTGCTAAAATACTCTGATAGAATTGTGATTGCAGGCAATAAAGTAAATCAAAAAAATTTTCCCCCTGAGTTTTTGGAGTTAAACCATATATAAATGTAAATGATTTGGTAGAATGAAGAAACTCTAGAAATGTCTTCTGTTCTCATTTCTGTCATTTGCATAAAGTAGCTGAACTGCTTATGTCCATTTTGGTTTGCTTAGAATTCTTGTTAGAATATTTATGAAGATTTATTATGGTAGATTATAAACTCTAGAAGGCATCTATTTTAAAAAAATAAACTTATTATTTACAATTTTGGATTTACACAATTACTGTGAAGACAGTACAGAGACTTCCCCTATGTCCTGCCTTCTAATTTCCTCTATTATTTTCACCTTACATTAGGACAGTGTTACTGTTATGACTAATGAACCATTATTAATACATTATTCATTAATGCCCATACTTTATTTGGATTAAGTTTTTACCTAATGTTCTTTTTCTGTCCCAGGATCCCACCCAAGATCCTACATTACCTTTAGTCTTTATGTTTCTTTAGGTTCCTCTTGGCTGTGACAGTTTCTAAAACTTTCATTGTTTTTTGATAAACTCGACCATTTTGAGCAGTACCAGTCAGGTATTTTGTAGAATGTCCCTCAATTGGAATTTGTCTAATGTTTTTCTCGTGATTACTCTTGGGTTATATTTATTTGGGAGGAAGATCATAGAGGTCAAGTGCCATTTTCATCACCTTAGGAAGAATAAATACAGTCAACATGATGTATCCCTGGCTAGGTTGAACTGAATCACCTGGCTGAGGTAGCGTTTCTCCACTGTACAGTAACCTTTCTTCTTCTTTCTGTTGTACCCTTTGAAGGAAGCCACGATGCTCAGCTCACTTATGGAGGGGGAGTTATGCTCCACGTGTTTGAGGGTGGAGTATTTACATAAATTATTTGGTCTGATAGCCATTTTAAATTTTAAAAAGCTAGGATTCCAGAAGTCAGAGGATGTTGTAAAAAGTGAAGAGGAAAACAATAAGGAAATTCATACAAGGAAGCCAAGAACTAAGAAAATCAAGGTAATCACTGCAGCTAAGTTAAGAGGTAGGCTCACGCTCCTCCACACTGGCGAAGCTTCATGACTTGAGACACAGTCCATGCAACTCTTTCCTGCCTGTCCAGTTTCTCTGGAAAAGTAAAGCATTCAAACATTTGGAAACTGTAATGAAGTCCATAATCCTTTTACTTTTCTCCTGGGATCATCCCAGGAATATAACATTTCCTTCACTGCCAGTGCCTGTCCTGCAATAAGGTTCTGGTCTCCAAAATGCATAGAATGGTTTCCAGGCAGAGCTCAGTATTTTCTCTTGGAGTGGATAAGTGTGGATATGTGATGAAAAGATGTGCCAGCTTGTAGTTAAAGGAGTAAAATGAAATAGAGATTAAGTAATTTGCTTAAGATCTTCAAAATTAATTATTTCTATCTTCACCATTCAACTAAAAGTGCTCTCCCACAAGCCCCCAAAGAGAACTTGTTGTCAAATGCAATGGTCCTGTCTCCTTTCTATTCTCCTTGATCTTTCCTTTCCATTTGACTTTGTTAACTACCTTTTGCTGTTGGATAGCTATTGCTATGTAACAAACCATCTCAAAACTCTGTGGCTTAAGAAAGCAATCATTTATTGCTGTTTATGCACCTGTGGGTAGCTGCAGTTTGTCTAGGCTGGGTTCACCTAGGTGGCACTACTTCTAATGAAAACCTGCTAGTTGGCTGGGGAGTCACTGGTCTGTGTGTCTTTCACCCTTGTTCACAGTTCAGCATGCTGGCTATGGCATATTTTTTACTGTGGCAATGGCAGAAGGGCAAGAGAAAAGTGGTAACATCTGAAGTCTCTTAAGAGCTAGACTTGGAATTGGCATCCTGTCATGGTACCAGTGGTTAAGGTTACTAATAATGTTTACTGTCAAATCAAATCACATGAACAAGAGACAAAAAATACGCTGTATCCTCAATGAGGCCATAGCTAGTGTGTGGATGCAGGGATAAGTGAAGAATTGGTATCAGTAACACAGTAATGCAATCTATCATACCCTTGCTTCTTGAAACATTCTCTTCTTCTTTTTCTTTTTAAACACACCCTTGATCCTCTCCCCTTTTATTGTTTAATTCTTCTACCTTCAACCGCAGTACTGTATGTAGGCTTTACCTTAGGCTTAACCTGTCCATCCTGACTTTCTCTGTGTTTACGCTCTTCCTAAGAAAGCTTATGTAGGCTCAGACTCCCTGATGCCCTAATGCTCATTTTCAGTTTACCAATTGGGCATTTCCATTTGGAATTGCCTAAACTCATAATCTTTGCTCCCTTGATCCTCTTAAATCAATGTTTGCTTCCAAAACAAAGCTGTATCTCTGAAAAAGACTTGGATCTTTGAATAATTGTTTTGATGTGAAAGGAAAAACAAAAGCATACAAAGTCCCAGTGAAAACCTGTTCCACAACAACAGGAATGGGACATCTCTAGAAATGAAAAGGGAATATATCTGAAAGGAAACCATAATGACAAAAAGAGTATTGAGAATGATTTTCTATGAGAAATGGTTAAAATTACAACTTTTTTTTAGTCTAGAGATTATGTAGGGTATCATGACCACCATGCTTAGATAGGTGAAAGTGTGTGGTGTGGGGAGACTTGAGGGTTTTTCCGTATGGCAGAACTACCCCTACTGGGTGGATTGAAGGAGGAAAATTGTGGCTTAATATAAGGAAATGATTTATAGTGAGAAGAACTATACAGAAACAGAATGGGCTAATATCTTTATTTTTCATCTGTGTCACTTCTCTCTCCTGAAAAAGTTTTGCTCCCCCTTTTCCCAATTATCCATAAAATTCCTATCCATTCTTCAAGATTATCTCAAGCCTTCATCCCTCCATAAACTCTTCCCTGACTACTCAAATTGTATTTATTCCTTTCATATTGCTAATCTACCACCCCACCCCAACTAAATTAAGAGTTCTTTGAAAGTAGAAATAGGACGTTCTAATTTGTAACTTTAAGCATGAAGCATAACACTGAGTTTATACCAGGCATTCAATATATTCTTACTGGCATACTTTTTTTTTTTTTTTTTTTTTGAGACAGAGTCTCGCTGCAACTCCCATACTGGAGTGCAATGGCATGATCTCAGCTCACTACAACCTCCATCTCCTGGGTTCAAGCGATTCTCCTGCCTCAGCCTCCCAAGTAGCTGGGATTACAGGCACCTGCCACCATGCCCAGCTAATTTTTGTGTGTTTAGTAGAGACGGGGTTTCACCTTGTTGGCCAGGCGGGTCTCAATCTCCTGACCTCAGGTGATCCACCCGCCTTGGCCTCCCAAAGTGCTGGGATTACAGGCGTGAGCCACCGCGCCCGGCCCTGGCTTACATTTTTATCACAGATTTCCTGATTTCTAATCTGGAGTTATTGGCATTTGAACCAGATTGGAATGCTTAAGAATCTGATTGTTTCACACTAATTTCACAAGAGGACTTGGCTTCGGATTTTAAGGAAAACTTGAAGGGAGTAGCAGATTTTGCCATCCAAGCTCATATTTTCCTGCTCATCAAAGAAAAACACTGAATCTAGAGATCCTCTAAGATCTTAGATTTATAGCTCAGATAATTTACTGAGAGAAACAGAGTGAATTTGCCATCACTTCTTCATGTCTGAAAATTATTTAAAACAAAAATCACCTGGTGAATGGGCATATGTGATGTGGAGGAATACACACAGCACTGGAGAGCTGTCACTCTAGTTTGTATTCAGGTCTGCCTGTTGTCATAGTTACTGATGTACTCAAAGCAAATTCCCTCCCAAATCACACTCTATAGACCTTCACTGAAAATAAGCTATTCTTCCTGTTTTATTTTTCTCTACCCAAGAATTGAAGCTAAAAAATAGCATCAATGGCATGAATATTTTTACACCCTTAGCAGGATTTTTTAAATACAGAGGAAATAAAAGAGGTTTCATCAAAATAAACACCTCTGATTGAGGTCTCACCTCATTTGTTCAGCAATGATTCATGGTACTGGGGAAACAACTATGATTATGGCCCAATGCCTACCCTCAAGGACATCAGAGCTCTGTGAGGGAGAGAGATGGGTAAGGGATGTATTTCAACAAAATGCAACTGGGGCTGTGGTGAAAGCCACAGGAACACAGAGGAGGGTCATCTCATTAAGTTTGGGGTGCAGATCCGAGGGAGGTGTCCAACCTGCAAGTCTTGAAGCATTATTGCTGTGAAGTTTAGCAAATGTATTTTCAGTCCCTTTGGGTACAGGATGCCAATGTGACCCTGCAGATTGGGCTCATGGAGCAGTGGCATGCGGAGGCCAGTACTGTAGCACGCAATGTGCTATCACCTGCTTATATTCACACACAGCTCTCCTTTCTGCTCTGGCTGCAGGAACTCCTTCACAGACATCCTTCGTGCCATCTTGCTGTCGTTGGAAGTCCTAATTGAAGATCCGGAGCTTCAGATAAATGGCTTCATTTTAATTATAGACTGGAGTAATTTTTCCTTCAAACAAGCCTCCAAACTGACACCTTCAATCCTTAAACTGGCCATTGAAGGGTTGCAGGTATGTTCAATGAATGCACAATACAAGACCATGTGTGACAACATCCTTTTTTAAAAATTATTGCAACCAAAGTAATATTTATCCTTTGGAGTGGAAAGAGGAAACTTGGATTAAATTCATGTGAGTACTCCATGTTTTTGTCTCAGCCAGAGTTTTAGATACTTTTAAAAATTATCTTTCATTTTCATTAATAACTCCAAATTACTGTTACCCCAGGCACAAATTATCCACTGTAGCAATAATGAATAAAGCTGCAAGATGTTTGGCTTAATCCATCAGAGAGTTCACAAAAATTAAAACTAGGAAACATCTGCTTTATGAGCATGTCATACACAGGGGTGACATGGGGCTTTTAGAAGCATTTTTGTGCCCCAGAAGTGCACCCTGCAGATCACCACTTCCAAGAGTGTAATGTGATACCAAGCTTGCGCTTAAGTGGATCATGTCGGTGCAAACAAAGGAAGCAGATGAAACCCCCTCCTGTTTGTATGACCAGCTATCAGGATTTTGGAGAAGAGGTTTTTGGGCTACATGGAGGGTAGAATGATTAGTCTCTAGGGTTCTTTCTACTTTCTAAGGATCTGGGATTCTATGAGAAGTAACTCAGAAAGGCAATGCTGCTTAGCTTTCTGGTGACACATTATTACAAATTACTATTACTATACCAAATTAAGGGCATGGTTTGGAGACATTTCGAATCAGCATAGATAAAACTCATGTCCCTTCTTAATTTCATAGGCAGATTAACTCGATGGAGTGACTCTCCCTCCGTAGATGGCAGTTATAGGCAACTATGTATATAGCAAAATATGACATTCTCAGATCAAGTAGTCATTACTCATGCTCTTCAAAGTACAAGACTAAGACCCATTTCAATCATCCATTACACTCCACTGCAATAATTGGTGGGTCTGTTTCTTACATTACAGATTATTCCTATTTGGCCCCCAGCAAATATCTGGCACCTAGTGGGCCTCTGATAAGCATGTATATATTGAATAGATCTTATTTTATTGAAACGTATCCTATTTCCCAGAGGAGCAGAAGTAGGGCAGGCATTTCAGAAGAGAAACAGCAAGTCCACATTGCTCCAGGGATGCCAAATTGTCCTGGGTGGCCACATCATACAGTGTATTTGGGGGACATTTGTAAAATTGCTTTTGAATGTACAGACTACATGGAGCATCCTGCCTTGCCTAATCATAGACTTCTGCGTTCTTTTCCATCAGTCATTTCCTCTTAGCTCTAACTCCTTTTCTCCAGCCTCCTCTCACCTAAGCCTCTGAACATCTGATCTCTCTCTCTTTAGAGCTTTTATCAAAGGAAGTTTTAAAGCAAGCTTCAGGGCTTAGATCATGTGCTTAAATTATGCTGACCATATTTCCAGGAATTTCTGTACAAGCTGCATGTAATCTTATCTTTTTAAAAAAAGATAATTTATTACATGTGCAAGTAGCTGTGATTCAAGTTCTAGCCTTTCATAATTTTTTTTTCTTAAATCAGTAAGGAAAATGTCCTTTATCCAACACTATGTTCCAATTTTTCTTCCTGAAAATGTATGGATTACTTAATACGTCCCTTGAAAGGTTCAGTAGGTTGATGTGAACCTACTGAGGTCTTACTGAATTAATCCATGTGAATGTGTTTTAAAAGGTAATGCTGTACATAAATCAAAGCTATTCTTGTGGAAAATACTAGAGGACCTTCGGAGGTGCAACCTGGGTCCCATTTGGGCCTCCAATTGTCATACGCCAGGGTCCAAGATGAATTTCATAATGTCCTACGACTTTGGTTAAGGAATAGCCCTCCTGTCATGGGGAGGAAGCCCGTGGTCCCTGGGGAGCTGAGCTGGGGTACAGTTCCTTCATCAAGGATAGGGGCTCCACCACCCCATGCTTTTAGCTTGTTGACTTGGCCATGCTGAAGAAGCACTCAGGGTCACTGAAGACAATTCTGCTCTTGCTCACAGTGGATGGTCAACTCTGCTCAGCTACTTAAAACGTCTCACTTCAGGCTATCTGCTCTCTGGTTCTGGGATATTCAGATGCCCTGGTCAATCTACTAATGGCTCTCCTAGCAACTTTTTTCAGGTAGCCATTAACCTCTCTGATGTCTTGGAAAAGCCATGAGTGGTACTAAGCAGAGTTCATTCCTTTGTGGTCAGCAGTATTGTGCAAGGAGGGCCCTGTACAGGTGTCCATTTATTAGCCACAAAAATTCAAGATAAATTCCAACACTACTGGCAGACTTTAATAGGGAAAGGAAAAGCCACATGCAGCCAGCATCAATGAGAGAAGAAAAGCCACGTGCTTCCTTCCTCCCATGCGCCCTCAGAGAGACCTGAAGAAGCCAGGCATCCTTTGGACATGTGGGAGGTTGTGAGGGAGATCCTGCGTTCCAGTGCAGAGAACTTGCTCTCTCTGCTGTCCTGCCTTTTCTAGGGTAGGTGTGAGAACGTGGCCTTGTCAGGGGAATTAAGCAGTCCAATTTGGTGCTAGGCCATCTGGTTTGGGATTTCAGCTGTTTGTTTATAGCATTTGTCTAGGATTACCTGCTTCTCAACATCTGGAGAATTTTGGGCCTTGGGGTACGAAACACTCCCGCCTTCCCTACCCTCCGCCATCTCTACCACCAAATAGGTAATACAATACCTCCTGCAGGGACAAGGTGGTTGGGCCCATCCCAGACAGCTCAATCTTTAGGCAGTGAGAATTCAAGGTCATTCTGGGTCAATCATGCACTTTGCATGGTTCCAGGATCCGGAGCTTTAGTCCTATTACCATGGCCCCTAGTTCTCCATAAAGACAGTTGTCCAAGGAGAACTTTGATTAGTAATTGCTACATGTTTGGTTCTTTGATTACTAATTGTTCATTTTGAGTTCTCTGGGGAGCAGACTATGCTGTGACTAACATGTCAAAGATTTATTAGGGAGTGCTCTTTGGGTCAACACCTGTTGGGGAAGCTACCAGAGAAGAAAGTTGGACAGTAGGAGAAGTTAAGCTGGGATTCAGTCATCTTCAGAGATGCCTCAGACATTCTGAAGCCAGAACGAGCATTTACAGATGGACTTAACAGTCGGGGCCTTTATATGCACACAGCACTCAGTCACTGTGTGCTGACTGTCCTAGGAAAAGGTAGTAAACTTGGGCAAAGTGGTTCTCTTCAGCCAGAGGTTCCAATGGGAGCTGTTATCTGAGAACTGTCTGGCAGCCCTCTCAGTGGCTGGGCAGCATATCAGAGCATCTGTAATAAGCAAAAGATGTTTGGAATCTCTTTTGGAAAAGCTATTACAATGTAACATCAAGGAGCTTCCTTTATTCTGAATCAGGATACATACCTGTGTTTTCTATTCCCAATAGACCCCAAAGTGGATGTGATTCTAGGTAATATAGAGGTGATGGGCACTGGGCTAGCAAGCAGGGCATAGTCTTCTATTTTGGTCTACCAGTTGTATTTCTGTGCTTTAAAAGGTAATTAATACTGCTTCTGACCATAATCATTAAAAAATGGTATGTGCATGGAGTTTGGTTATGCCCTTCATAGACTTATTAATGAGTTATTATAATAATCATATCGAAGGCTTCTCTTTAGGGATCATCAGATTTTTACGTCAAAATTTATCCTGTATGAGTCAGTCATGAAATGCTAATAGTGTATGTACTATAAATTCCTCCTTTTAGAGCAATGCTTTGAAGAATTGTCATTGTTTAGAATATTAAGTTGCCCCAGTTACATAAATATTCTATAAATATTAGTTCAAAAGATCTTAGTCAAAATACTAATTTTGAGAATGCTTGAAAGTCATGTACTCCTGTTGGGCCGTTTGATCTTTAAATGTGGTCAATATAAAGTCTAAAAGAGCCATTGTATCTGTTCATTACAATTTGTTTAAATTTTAATCAAACAAAGTAATATTTATGCTACCGTTTTAATACAGCTCAGCGTTATTCTCAGTTCTGCTGGGGATTTCTGGCAGAATGAGAAACATGCTGAAGTCCTGCTCTTAAGCTTTGTAATGTGTCCAAAATCAATTTTTGGAATTATTTTTTATAAATCACTGCAGCCCAGTGATTACAATCAAGGTACTGTGTTTATCAATGTTCAGTCAACCCAGATACTTCAAGAGCTACCTTGCTCAAGTGTTTCACTTAAGAAGAGCTATAGTCTTGTGTCCTGTAGAATATTTTAAAATATTTGATTCCTTGAAGGACTCAGATATTTATCACGGATTTAGAAAAGTGTGTTTTTCACTTTCTGGAGGAGATCCAGAAAGCGATCTACTTTTTGATTTTTCTCATTTTCATGCTCATGTCATTATGGTCTAGCCATTCTGAACACTTTATCCGTTCATTAACTCTTCATTCAAGGTTTATTGTGTGACTTTTCTTTCTGTTAAAGTTTTTTTTATAACATTTATATCAACTTTGATTCAACTTCTTCCAACAGTTTTGAGCCACTTTAGTAGAAAAGGAGGTCCATTGCTTTTCCAACTCTTTCCGTTTTTTGACCCTAAATTATGACTTTCTAACTTTTAGTCCAGGTAGGATGGAATGTGGAGCAATGCTCAGAGCCTTAGCCAACTGGAAATCACCTATCTCCCTACTGTCCTTTATTTATTTAATTTTTTGTGTGTGTTATGAGAATTACGCTTTTTTCCTTTCAACTTTTATTTTAGGCTCAGGGGGTACATGTGCAGTTTTGTTACATGGGTAAACTGTATGTTGCTAGGGTTTGGTGTACAGATTATTTCATTACCCAGGTAGTGAGCATAATACTCAATAGGTAGGTTTTTGTTCCTTGCCCTCCTTCTACCCTCCAACCTTAAGTAGGGCCTGCTGTCTATTATTCCTTTCTTTGTGTCTATGTATACTCAGCGTTTAGCTCCTACTTATAAGTGAGAATGTAAGGTATTTGATTTTTTGTTTCTACGTTAGTTTGCTTAAAATTATGGCCTCCATTTGCATCCATGTTGCTGCAAAGGACATGATTTCATTCTTGT